CCGGCATCTTAAACCCCAAACCCTAAACTACACCCCAAGACCTCACCAAAACCCGGAACATGGGGGGCTGTAGTCTGTTAGGGGGTCTGGGTGTGTTAAGTATGGCTGTAGGGATTAGAGTTTTGATTTTCAGTGGGTTTCGGCTGTTAGAAAAGAGGCATCGGGATGTTTATTGTTCCGGGCGTAGGGTTTCAAGGTTTTCGGCTTCTGTCTGAAGTCCTAAACGCTAACCCCTAAAACCCCAAACCCTAAACCCTAAGCCCTAAAACCCCGAGACCCCAGACCCTGTAAGCTGTAACATCTGTAAACCTACCGGGTCGGCTGAGGAATGGTTTTGATATCCCGTGCCTGGTGTTGGAGACCGAGACAGCCCAGAGGCTCCATACATACTACTATTATGGAATTATGTCCCTAAAACCATAATAAGGATGGTCTTTTTGGACCTAATTGCATAATGGTCGTTTTTTTTGGAGCCTCTGGGTAACCCTACTTCATGGAAATATGTACCTCAACAGAGCGGGCTTTCTGTTCAGGTCTTACGTATGTGCACTCATTCGGGGGCATTGGTCTCTGACCCAAGCCTCAACACCTCAACCCTGAACCGTAAGTGCAGTGCTTCCTGCAAGCTTAGAAGCCTTAAGCTTTGGGGGTTTAGGGTTTAGGATTTTGGGGCTTTGGGGGTTGAGGTCTTAGGATATTACTTTGGGATTGGAACTTCGGGCTATTCATAGCCATTTAGTAAGTTGAGGTGTTCGCAACAACAAGATACTTGATAGAGGCTTGTATTCAACAGTTTTCTACAGTCTTCCTTAGGGTTCCATGTGTTAAATACGACCATACACACCACAAAGGAAAACGCTACTGAAAAGAGTCAGGCCCCTTTCTTACCGGGTATGGGTCTGAGGAGCTCGCCTCACAACATTCAACCCTGAAGCTCGCCGGTGGTGCTTCCACTGCATTGCCGGCTCCGTGTGCGTCTTTGCAGGTGTCCCACAAGCATGCCCTAAACCCTAAACCCCAAACCTTAAGCTCCAAACCCCAAACCCTAAACCCTAAATCCGAACAATTCCAAGCACTTCCTGGCTGGGGCCTCACAACTTTTGTAAGTTAAGGTTTAGGGTTTAGAGCTTAGGGCCTCCAAATCATACCTACATCATGTCACGCGACAGCTTTGAACTTGCTTCTGGCGTCTAAGGTCATGTCTACGGCCACTCCCACATCGGCCAGGATCTGCAAGCCTAGCGTCCTTGTTTCGGATTGAGGGTGCCTAGGAGGAACGACTAAGCTCCTAAGCCTGAACCCGAGGCCCCTAAACCCCGCACTATAAACCACTGAACCCGATACCATAAACTCCACAATGAACCCTAAACCCTAAGCCCTCCTAAACCCTACACCGTAGCCCGTAAACGCCGACACAACCCCAAGCCCCGGAATGTCAAAGTAGGGTTGAGGGATCCACAGGGTTATTGGGAGCCTTCAAGTGGGCTTTAGGGTTCAGGCTTTAGGGTTTAGGGTTTAGGGTTTATAGGGTTCAGGGTTTATAAGTTCAGGGTTTAGGGTTAAAATTTTGGGGTTTAGGGTTCAGGTATTAGGGTTTAGGGTTTAGGGTTCAGGGCTTAGGGTTCAGGTTTTAGGGTTTAGGGTTGAGGGTTTAGGGTTTAAGGCCTTACGGTATGCATTCGGGATATTAGGCCATTGGGATAACATGTTGAGGTTACGAGGTGTAGCGTATGAGATCAGATCAGCAAGAGCTTGCACTGTGCTCAATGGCAAGAGGCAACGCTGGACAGTTTCAGGTAGTATTATGAGGCTAGCATCTTTCGACTTTTTGCAGCAGCCAATTAGCACAGTGAGTTGTTCTGAACCAGGGCACCTTGACGTTGCACATTTGGTAAGGACTCTTGCAAGAGCTCGTTAGTTCAACAAGAGCCGTTCCAAATTCACGATGTTTGATCATCATCCTAGATGCCAGAAGTACTGGCAAGACAGTTGCCCACAGCCTTCAACAATAAAGACCTTCACCCCCCCTCCGCCATCAGGACCGTGTCTACGAAGGTGTGCGTTACGTCCAGCAGCCCCTGGGCTATCCGACAGACGGGCATCGCGAGGTGCCGACGACGGATTGCTTGACGGCTTCGGCGATTTACTTCAAAAGCCAGGCAACTAGGTTTTGACTGGGTGATGTTGAGTTACTTGCTGGCTTTTCTTGGGTTAATGCCAAGGCAGTGGTGGGGGGCCCATGAGGAAGAGCAAGAGATCCTGCAAAGACTTCAGATTGAGCCCTGGGCCGGAGACAAAGAAACAAAATAGGAGCACTACCTACAGCTGTCAGCTACCGATCCACGTTTTCTCGGGTCCTTCCGTCCGTCGCCCTTTCGGGCTATAGGGTTCTATAGACTTCGGAATGGTCGCATACCCGGAACTCCGAACCAGCCAGTTAACTTGAAGCAGGGATTCAGCCTTCACGAGCCTCTAAGCAGCTAAGCAGGTGAACAGCCAAGCTGTGACTCCAAAACTCTAAACCTGACCCCAAACCGTAAACCATGGAAACGAGCACTGCCAAAAAAACAAACAGCTGAAGCCCAAGTCGAATACTAGAGACAAACTCAGACCGCATCCCAAGATAAACCCCCACCCCCTAAACCCCTAAACCCAAAACCCCTAAACCCTAAAACCAAAACCCCTAAACCCAAAACCCCTAAACCCAAAACCCCTAAACCCTAAACCCCTAAACCCAAAACCCCCAAACCCAA